TTTAGAACATGTGTCCATTTAATATCGCTAGATGTAACCTGGCTTTCCTGACCGGCTATAGAAGAGTCTAGCAATGAAAACTTAAAAAAAGCGTGTGCTGCAAGTTTTCACGTGATTGCAGGATTGACTGGATGTAGCACTGAATGGAATCTGCATTTTTTTTTCTCCTTTGAAAAATGGATGAGAAATGGGGAATGTCTTAATATAGGCCAGTGGTGGCGAACTTATGGCATGGGTGCCAGAGGCGGCACTCGGAGCCCTCTCTGTGGGCACACGTGCCGTTGCCCCAGCCTCGCCTCCGCCCGCGACCCCCTCCTCTCCAGCAACCCCCCTGAAGGAGAGTCGCCCCTGAGCGTGGCCCACGCGGAGCAGCGCAGCCAAGGACATGGCAGCCAGGCAGCATAGACAAGACTCTGCCCTCACACCCCATCGTGCACAGTTGATGCTGCAGGGTGCGGGCAGAGGGCGTGGCCGCCATAGCGCTGCTGGGCTGCCTGGGCAATCTGCGGCGGGCCCTGGAGGTGGTGAGTGGCCCTGCGGGCAGGCGGGGTGGGGGGGCAGGGCAGGGCAGGGGGTGGAGCAGGGGCGGGGCCAGTTTTTGGGCACTCGGTCTCTAAAAGGTTCGGCATCACTGATATAGGCTCTTTTTGTTGTTTAAAAAGTAACAAAGAATGGTACCATTTGGAATTAGTGCAAGGATGGGCAAGATGACCTCTGGGTCTGGAATACCCTCCATATACCATGCCAGTTTTCTTCCTCCTAGTTTTTTTTCATTGAATGCATGTGATCTTTTCCACATACCTTATCTGTTGTACTCACCATGCCTACACATGGCCTCTATCATACCATTGCCTATGTTGTTCACTTGGTTCCTTCCACTGCTTCTTATCGCCTGGGTGCAGTTGGTTTCTTCCTTCTGTCACATCCTTCCTGTAAATCGGCCATCTGGACTTTAAGCAAATGAAGAGAAATCTCCCAAGATGAGGAAACTCCAAGGAATTATAAACTTTTGAGGGGGGAAAAAGTGCAAAGTATTTGTTTAACTTCTTCCCCGCTACAGAACTCTCGGAAACAAAGGTTGTGTTTGTATTCATTGATTTGTTTTGGAAAGTATATTACTGCACTATTTGCTACATGAAGTTTACTGTGGTGACCGGATTGAACTGCAAATTAGACTGTGTTGTCTGCGTGGTGACAGGATTGAATTGTGTGCTTATCTCCAGTGCAAGCATATTATAATTCCAAGGCTGAATTGTGAAACCTTGGCCATAAATTTACTAGCTGGCATGGGCAGGTTGCCTGTCCTCAGTCGTGCCTATGCGCAATATGAGGATCATATACAGAATTGTTATAGCTGTTGAGAGAATTTATACCGAGAGATTTCAGAATGATAAAAACTCTGTGGAATAATTAGCCTGCAAGCTCAGAAAAAGAAATGTATAGAAAACTGGTCTTTGAAAGACTTTTGACTATGATACCCAGCGACCAAATTTGGATGTGTATTGCTACAGGTGTGTCTTTTGGGAGGTTCATCAGTGGTCCTTGCTTTCCTATTCTTAGACCTGAGAATCCTTCTTAAGCAGTCCCTGGTAGAACAGATATTGCTGCCTAAATTGCAAGGTTTTAGATCTTTTTCTTCAGAGACTCTTGATTTGAGCCATCTGCAGACATTTGGATAAAATAATTTCACTCCTGCAGGGGAAGAAAGTCTCTTGTATGTGTGGCTTGCTTGTCTCATTCTGAGTTTGTGTGGGCCTGCTGTCCCAGGAAAATAAAAAACAAACAAACCAACCAACCGCTGGATACTGTTTAATTGCAAGTTTAATCTGAAGGCTCAATCAGTTGCAGCTGATAACAGAGGAAAACTGGGTTCTCAGATGTTGATTTGTTGAAGGAAGTTATTGTGGACTCAGCTTAGAGGCTGTTTAATCTTTCAGGAAATGGCTCTGGAGTGGAGGCACCTTGGGAGAAAAGCTGGCTCGCTTTCAAATTTTTATGAATCTAACGTTCCTGAAACCTCCCCAGCCACTTTTAATATAAGCAGCCCCATTCTTGTGTTGCAAGGCTCTAGAAGTATTGGATTACAACCCATCATCCATACTGAGCATGGACTGGCTTGCAGCCCAATGCATTTTAAGGCTGGTGTACTATGCAGTAGGATGCCTGTAACTTTAACATACAGTTTGTGGGATCTGTTTTTATTGGCATGGTACAGCTGCCTTATAGCGAGGTATGGAATTTTATTCTAAACAGGATCTACCTTTGTGTCAACAAGCTAGAGTTCACAATCAGTTTTTGTTTTTCCGATAAGATAAGATAGATAAGATAACCTTTATTGTCATTTTTTTAACTGTGGGCATTACAATGGCACACATCAAAAATGAAATTTAGTTGCCCGCTCTCAAAGTGAAACACATACATGACACACACCTAAACATACTATGAACAACATATGTATAGACCCACACCCCTATATATACGTAGCAAATAAATATTAAATACTGTCCATCTTGAATATATAACGGAAGGAGGAAGCTTGAGCGTTCGCAAGGTTAATGCTGTATGGAATGAAACTCTGGCTGAATCTGAATGTTCTGCTTCGGATACCACAAAGCCTCCTCCCAGAAGGTAAGAAGGAAAGCAGGTCGCGAAGAGGATGTGTAGTGTCCCAGATGATCTTACGGACCCTGCTCAAGCAACGCTTCTGTGCTATGTCCTGGATGGGAGGAAGGGAACTGCCAATGATCTTTTCGGCCATTCTCACCACTCTGCACCACCTTCCTGTCTGAAGCAGTGATGCTTCCAAACCAGACATGTATTTTCCAGTCTTGTCTCACAGCTCATTTCTTTCCCCCCATTCTTACTGGAATCCCCAGTAAGATGGCCAATCTTTGCCCATCTTTTCAGCACCCACCACAGATTGCTACAAAAAAATCTTGGCTTGATGCTGGTTCCATATTTTTCTCCAAGGGCTTGTGGATTGATGTGGAGCCTTTAGGAGTGACAACAACAGCCATTAGTACTAGAATTTCTATTGCTAAGTGATGTAAAATGTGATATCCCATGACTACACTGCTTAGCGACAGCAGTCCTGGCACTTCTGGTTGCTGTTGTTAAGTGAATCCCACACCGTCATTAAGTAAAATGTCACGTGTTTGCCATTTGTGACCTCCTGCTGGCTTCCCATTGACTTTGCTTGTCAGAAGGTGGCAGTGAAGGTCATAAATGGTGATGTTGTGACCACAGCACACTGCAACTTCATAATTGTGAGGTAGTCACTGAGTGCCAGGATTCTGATCACGTGATCGCGGAGACTGCAGTGGCCACAATTACAAGGACTGGTCATAAATACCACCCTAAGTTTGAAGTCATTCAACGAGTGGTTATTAAATGAGAACGTGAATTGATTGCCAAGAACTTGGGGTTTCAGGGTGATATAGTAATGTGTGAAGTGCAATTAAGGGTTCATCTCCATCAAGAATTCTCCAGAGGGTAATAATGAATTGGGGAAATTCTTTATTTGAAAGAATTATGAAGGATTGAGCAAAGAACAAAATGTTTTATCTTAGTTCAAAAGGTTTTTGTGGAAAAAAATCTTACCTTGGTCTGCTAATCAACCCACTATCACTTCAGTTGTGAATTGTCTGTGTGGTCTGATAGTGCACATATCAGGTGAGCATCTGACGTCTTCAAGAATGGGGTAACCCTCCACACACATCGGCAAACCGGTTCTTAAATGCTAATAACATTATTAAATCATGCTAATCCAGTGGCGTTTAAACAAAATACTATCAAGGCTGCAAGATTCTTTTCATTTCATAGACCAGGGATAGGCAACCTTGGCTCTTTTATGACTCGTGAACTTCAACTCCCAGAATTCCTGAGCCAGCCATGCTGGCTCAGGAATTCTGGGAGTTGAAGTCCACGAGTCATAAAAGAGCCAAGGTTGCCTACCTCTGTCATAGACCATTCCTCCATCTTTAGAATGAATTTTACAGAAAAGGGATACATGTCCACAGTACTGAATTTCTCACTTTTCTGCAGTTTTGCTAAGGGAACTCGCAATTTAAACATTAATGGATAATCCTCGACTTACAACCACAAATGAGCAGAGTAGTTGTTAAGTGAGTTTTGCTTCATTTTATGACCTTTTTTCCACAGTTAAGTGAATCACTGCAGTTGTTAAGTGAATCATGCGGTCCTTAAGCGAATCTGGCTTCCCCCCGAATCTGGCTTCAAAGGGAGGGACAAATCCTTCAAGTCATTTGATTGACAGCTAACATACTCTTCAACCATTTGTTATGTTTGTTGGAGCGCCTGGAGCTTGTATAAAATATAGAAAAAGTACCATGTTATCTATCTCTTTGGAATTTCTCTCTTCGAATTATATTTGACCTTTGTCTTGGCTGCAGTTGGCCTGAAAAACTGTTTCTCTGCTGTGATTTATTCTTAGATGCTGCACATGCTTTTTCCAGTAATTTTTGTCCAAGGGTCAAAACCCCACAACTTTTTCTAATTTCACTTTTAAAAAAAAAATAATCAGAAAAGCATGTGTTCAGTAGGCTCTCTTTTAGACCAGCTTTTAAACTAGCTGTGTTAATAGTTTGCAAATGTATTTTTACTAGAGCAATGTAAAATCTTCAGTCTTTTTTAATTAATGACCTCAGAAACCTGAGGACAAGACAAAATAAACGTCAGTCGAAGAAAGAAAAATAAGTTGAGTGTACACTTTATAATTTGAGTTTTCAGGCATCTTTGTGTAGTTTTAACAGCTTACCTGTTTATTCCTAGAATACTGAATTGATGCTAGATGATACGTTTGTCTCTTTTAATTAAATGTACCTCTGCTTTCAGTTGTCTGCTTTGAATGGTTCAGCAACTCTAGTGGTGGCTGTTAATCTCTCTCTGCTTTGCTAAGTATCATTCTCAGGAATGTACTGTACCAAAGTCTTTGTGAACTTGTTCTGACTTGCCTGTCTGTTTGTCTTCCGGTTCCTCAGGTATAATCTCTATGCGAAAACCCGGCTGGGCTACCTGTTATACAAGCGGCAGGTAAAGAAGGCACGCCAGCGTTATCCCCAAGGACACTCAGTTTCCCAGCCTGTGGAGTTCAATGGTGAGAGCTTGGCTTTTTCCATTGCATTTTGGATAGATGTACCCATTTGCGTTGTTTTCAGGGATATTGTTTGATTTAACTTCTAGAAAGTGAATTTTGAGAAGTAGTAACTAAATTCTGGATAAGGAAGAAATCCTGTAATGGAAACTTAACTTTTTGAGATGCCTCAGAATGAATCAATGAGTCAAATTAGGTCTATATGATTGGGATTCAATCATACTCATACTCCTGAATTTGGCAAACAATTTGTACAGAGAAGGCTTTTTACACATGTGCAGAATTCTACAAACTGACTTGGTCAGAAATCTTGGGAAGGGCGCAGACCAGTTTCACAGTTTGATCTTTGAGATCAGCTGAGATTGCAGCACGTTTAATGGAAGATACAGCAGGATCACTGTACTTGAACGTCTGTGCCCCACCTCCCTGGTTGAAATTACTGGGCATCTTTTTTCTCTATTGCTTAGTACACAAAGTTATTCAAAGAACTTGCATTTCTCTAAGACTTAGAAGGCTGCTGGGCTGCAGAGGCCAATTTTTAAAAAATCATTTTTGTTTCTCTGATTGCAATGTCTCACTATCTTTTAAAATAATTCTCTTTTAAAGAGTTATTCAAGGTGGCCAACAAAATATAGTTCCAAATAGCAATATAGATATTGCAGGTTCAATGGAGGGTTTTCTGTGCTCATTTTCCTGCTTTCTTCCTTCTTTGCTTTATGTTTGTTTTCCCAGGTTTGAAGATCCTTCCCATTCCTGTCCTGTCTGATAATTACAGCTATCTTGTTGTTGACACTGACTCCAACAGTGCTGTAGTTGTGGACCCTTCTGATCCTTTGGCTGTACAGGTGAGAATCCAGATATGATATTTTCTTTCCAGAGTTAGAGATAGGAAGATTTTGGGGCTGGGTGTCTACTTTTTCTTCCTTAACCAGGGATATGGAATCCATGAGCTCTCCAGAAGTTGCTAAATTACCTCTCACTTACCTTCCCTCAAAATTGGACCTCTAATTCAGTGTTACATAGCATTGCTTTTCAGTAACAGGCAAGGTCTTCCAGTTCCGCACTTCTGTTGTGATTTTAAGGAGCAATCAAATGGAATTGGGTATAATAAATAAATATAAATACTCTTAGCAAATAAATATAAATACTCTTAAGGAATAGGATGTTTCTGTGCATGACTCAGATAAAGTAATAGATCAGTGATGGCGAACCTTTTAGAGACCGAGTGCCCAAACCGCAACCCAAAACCCACTTATTTATTGCAAAGTGCCAGGGCCGCATCAGCATTGTGGGAGGCGCCTCTGAGTGTCGCCTCTGGCATGCAAAGACCGGGGGCACAAAAATGGACCACTATGCTGCAAGGTGCAAAAACGGCCGCTGCCACACCGCAGGGTGCAGATACAAAATGCTGCACCACACAAGAACGGGGCAGGGCTAGTGAATATCACGCAGGCACTAGCCCTGCCCCATTTGCAATGCATGCGTGCTTGTGGCCCCATGTGTGCATGCACGCATGTAAAATGCTTCCCCCTCCCTTTTCTTCCAGTCCACCAATCGACAATGGTTGGTGACCTCTGCTTTACCACCTCTACTTGAGCTTGCTAGTCAGCCACTTCTCCTCCTTTGTGCTGGGCGGCCTGATGGACCTGCTGCTGGTGGCAGTGGCACACGTGCCAACAGAGAGGGCTCTGAGTGCCGCCTCTGGCACGCGTGCCATAGATTCGCCACCACTGTAATAGATTTTGATGCTAGAACTGACTTTGAAGTCTGATCATAAAAATATCCAGTACTGTTCTTCATTTGTTTTTTTTCATCTCAGTTACTTAAGTCAGTGATGGTGGGAAATACATTATTTTTGTTATTACTGTTGTTCAGCAATTAGCAATCAGATCTTTTCAGATCACCCAGGAATCTAATAATACATCCTGTTTTGTTTTTTGCATCTTCTGCTGTATAAAGTGGCTCAAATATGGATGTTTGAAAGCTAGAAAGGGAATTGCCATTCTTACCAATGTTTTTAAATTGACTCAAGCTGTCCTCTTAAGAACAAGGACTTGGTAATCAGTTGGTCTGATCTGTTGCATTGATGCAAGAATGTTTAATATCCAGGCAATGGCCCATGCAGTTGAGGACTTGTCTGTTTTCACTGTGGTTTGTGGAATTTTTATCAAAGTCAGCTGGAGAATGACAGATTACCATGACCTGCTACAAGTTCATAGAGATGTTAATCAAGTATGAATCGTAGAAAGGGAGTGTCAAAAAGTCGCTTGAATGAATTAGGCTAAGTTTTGTACGAGGCAAGTGGCCAAAAGAAAAATAGTATCTATCATATTTCTGGAAAGAACTGACATTTCTCAAGAATTGATCCCAAGCTTAAATGCTAAGAAAGGAAAAAAATGGATTCTTCCTCTACCCTCCCTAATTCCACATGATCAGTATTTAAATCCTTCCTCTGGCAAAGTCTTTGATAGGCCAACTATCATCTACCCCAGGGGTAATCAACCTTGGCTCTTTTATGACTCGTGGACTTCAACTCCCAGAATTCCTGAGCCAGCTGTGCTGGCTCAGGAATTCTGGGAGTTGAAGTCCACGAGTCATAAAAGAGCCAAGGTTGACTACCCCAATCTACCCCATAAATCTCAATGCTTCTGGGAGGTGTCATTTGTAAAGGACCTCTTTCTACACATAAGTGCAGTACTACCATTAGTCAGGATGCCACAACTGCATTGTAGACTTTTGCTGATTTAACAGTTATAGGTGGTCCTTGTTTAGCGACCACAATTTGGACTAGCAGCTCTGTTGTTAAGTGAAGTGGTTGCTAAGTGGAAAATCACATGACCACGACTGCTTTTCTTTTTCCCATTCTCCTGCCGTGTGGAATGTTCATCCCAGTGCCAGGATAATTAACAAAAAGGGGATTAATGTTTGTAATTACATTAATTGAAGAGGAAGGGATTATAAGAAAATAAGCAGGCACACAGTGGGGAATACACATACAAAAGAATGATTTGGTACCAGCAACCTCAAGTGTGCTATGCAACAGCCCAGTATATTCTTGAGAGCAAGGGGAGAGGGGTAAAAACAAAAACCCAAGCAATCTGAGGCAATCTCTCCTGTGCCTGATCCATTCAAGAGTTCTGGTGGTACAGTGCTTAAACTGCAGTATTGTGGGCAAACTCTGCCCACAGCTTGGAGTTCGATCCTGACTGGGCTCAAGGTTGACTCAGCCTTTCATCCCTCTGAGGTCCGTAAAATAAGGACCCTGATTGTTTGGGGCAATATTCAAATTATGGTTATATTGTAAACCCCCCAGAGAGTACTGTAAAACACTATGGGGTGGTATATAAACCTACATGCTATTGTTATTCTTTTCTCCCCTCCTCGCACAATAGAGACATTGGAGAGGAAGGGATTACAAGAGAATAAGCAAGCATATAATGGGGAATATACCCACATTGTAATCTCTTCCTCCACAATCTCTCTGTTCTGCAAGTGGGGGAGGGAAGAAAACCACAGCTCTGGTACAGGACAATACATAATGTAATGGTGATCACGTGACTGAGGGATGTTGCAAATATCATAAAGGCAGACATCAGTTGTAAAGTTATTTTTTTCAGCACCATTGTAACTTTAAATGGTTACTGAATGAGGCAATTGGTATGCAAGGTCTACCTGTGTAGGATCTGGGGAACTATAGCCATGGTAATAGGAGGATATGGAGGTATAAGAAACTACACTATAAGAAACGTCACCAAACTACAATTCTTCAAAGTATTTCCAACCTTCCCAAACCTGGCACTCTCCTGGGTTTATTTGGATTGCAAGTCATGGAATTCTTAGCCAGTATGGAAATTCTGGGAGTTGGCAGTCACCAAACATTGGGGGTGCCAGATTGGCATTAAACTGAGACCTGGTGCAATTTATTTTCATACTATTGGATTACAGATCAGGAACTTCCTAGTTTCAACTTTGTCTCATTAAGCAATCTCAAACAAGCCTCAGCCATAATTCATAATGTGTGGAAAGTACCTGATCTACTGTATCTTGTAAATTCACTACACTTACAAATCGCTGTAGAGATCAAAAGAAGATAACATATCTATTCTTACTGTCTTTATACCCCAGCTTTCTATTTACTCGCAACAATCAAGACAATTTACAGCAATTAAAATATACAGAGTATAAAACATTAAAAAATTGGCTAAAACCAAAGCCAAAATTAAATGCAGCCATTAAAAGAATTAACATGAAATGTTTATTAAATGAAATGTATTTTACTCTCTTCTTAAATAGTGAGAGAGAGCAGGAATCAAATGCATTCCCTTATAAGGAGTGTATTTCATAACCTGGGAACTGGACAGGAAAAGGCTTTTTTCTAATTAAATAAGTACAGTAGTTGCCCATCTCATGGAAGTGAGACTGGCTGTCTTACAAGAATAAAATAGACAACCACATGAAACATAACTGCCCATACTCAAGGACAAATAGTAGATCTTACTTACCATTAATATTAATAGAGGTAATCTGTTCACCTGACTGAAATACCTGGGATATAGCCAGGTCTTCAGAACTTTGCACAAGACTAATACAGATGAAGCTATCTAATGTCATGGTTCCGAAAGATGAAACTCTTCAAAGAACTTTGAGGCATTATTTACATTAAAGAATCTTTATTCGAGCAGCATAGCTTGGGCAGGTACATAGTCGAAGCCAAAATCTGACTTCCCCTCCCTTCAGCACATAGATCAAAGCACAATTCCCTCCTACAACTAACAGTCATAAATCACATTCTCCAATTAGTTTGAAATGCTGGCTTTCCGCCCAGTTCCTTATCCACCATTCCTTATCAGCTCTTATTACAATATTGTATATCTAACTAACTCCCATCACATTCCTCCCCCTCCCCCAGTATCATCTAATTTAAGAGTAAAGTATAAGAAAGAAAAAGGCTGCATCTCCATATATTGGCAAAGCAAGAACATCCAATGTTAGCAGCGTTGACATCTAAATCTCTGGGGGATGCTGTTTCACAGAGCAGGTACTGTCAACAAAGAAAGCATGATTCATGGTCTTTCTACTAAATTGGAGGGGTGGGCAAAAACAATAGTAAAAAGGAGATCAAGCTTCTGGCAGATGGGGCATTTCAGTAAGGCATTGCCTCCTGATCCAAGGAACTGGGCAGGTCCATATTGAATTAGGCAGTCTTGAAAATAATTGCGCCTTAAGCTTTAGTTCGATATCTGCACCTTAATTTGTGCCTGGAAAGTACTCAATAACTAGTGCAAGCATTTGTCAGTAGTCTTGATATCAAATTCTACCTCAGTTATAATTTCTGAGCATTTTCCCTATTAAGGACATTACAGTACAAGGATTGTAAACAGGGCATGGATCACCCTCACTGACTGGCTCAGGGGAAGATCATAGCTGGAACACTAGACATATTTGCCAAGCACATTTTTTATCAGAACTGCCACCTGCTAATTCAGGGACCAATGGAGACCAGTGAGTAATCTTAAACTTCAAGCTGGCGTTCTCTGTGGGAATACATCCTCAGCCAGAACAGGCTTCATGTATCCCCAAATCCACACTGTTCCCTACCAAAAGTATCTGTGCAATAGCATCCATAGTGAGCTATGTTTATGACAGAAGGATAAGATGCACCTGATGGTCCCACCATTTGTTTGTTCTGCCTCATCCAATTATTGTTGCGTTTAGGCAACATTCAGGGTTACTGATTGTTTCCTTGGAGTTAGAAGATAGGAAACAGTAGAGCATGCTGATGATATCTTTTTGTTAAAGCTCTGCATGACCTCCAATTGTTTCATGAAGACAGCGTTCAGATAACAAGAGAAAAATTTTATAGAACAGCATAAATGTGCACCGAGAAATAAAATTGCAGTTTTTGAGCATGGCCAAACAAAAACGACAGAATCTCTTAGAATAGTGTGCCCAAGACTGCCCATAAATTTACCATAATCAGTGATAATCTAAGGCACTGAGAGGTCCAAACGAAATAAACAGATCACACTCCATCTAGTTTTTGAGGTAGGTTATCTAGTAAAGTGATCAAAAGAGTCTCAGTACCATAGCCCAGATGAAAACAACTAGAACATAAAGTAAGTAGAAGGCAATGCAAACTGTTAAAATATTAACAGTTATTGTACTTCTACTTTATTTTTCTAAAACTGAATCACTATAGTTTTCTTGATCTCTCCCTCCCCCCCCCTTTAAAAAAAAAACTTTTAAAGGGTAGTCAGATCTGGTTTATGATACTTCATCTCCAGCTGCTTGAGTTTGACTGTTCACGATATACTTGCCTGGCAGTCCTTTTAAGGCTCTTGTTATCATGAAGTTCTTTTTATATGCAGTGCTTGGCTTGGTAAGTGGTTTGCACTTTGACCTCCGCCTGCTATCCCATCTGAGGGCACATTTGCTTGATTCTCCTTTGACTTATTATTTACAATCTGCAAATATCTTTAAGGAAACATAAGTCAATTGGCTCCTGCCTTCCTCTTCTCCACTGTTTAGCATAGACTACCTTCCAATTAAGGAAAGGACTCATGACTCTTCAAGTCTGCTTCTTGCTGCCTCCCTGCCTTCTGCAGGAAAGCCGTTGATGAAGCAGTAGCTGGATGCTTCCAAGAGTGTTTCAAAGTTAGAGCAATAAGAGCAGCAGCAACATCATTTGATCAAAATCCCTTCCTTCCTGCTTGGGGTTTCTCCTCTTCAGAAGCACCTGTCATACTGGCTCTTCCTGTTATACTCAAGGGCCAGGTCTTCGCTTTTGTTCAGATGTGTTTGGAATAAAATGTCAAGTGTAGCTGAAGGAGAGGCCAGAGGGAGAGCTTAANAAAAAAATAAACACCATTAAATCAAACCAGAATATAATCTTAGGGCATTTTTATAATGGCTTATATACAAAAATCAAGAACACTACTTATGAGATAGTTAAATAGAGTCCAGTCCAGCTAGACAAACATTCCCAAGTTAATGACAGTTTGAACACTAGATGGAGCAGGCACTTCTGTGTTTTTGATGGAATAATGGCCCACAGTCAAAGATTTGGTATCTTCTTGGACACTAAAGCTTACATGTAACTATTTAGGAGCAGTAGACAAAGATATTGGCCTACTAAAATCATAAACTTCAACAACCAATAAAACTTGCTAGTGACACTAAAATAGCAGTCAACTGTGCTCTTGTACAGGTGGAGCAATGCTGTTTATATGAATTTATTGCCCCTGGCACCAAACTCCTGTTTAAAAGACTCTTGATTTTCCCCCCTCTCTTCTCCCCCTCCATGTCCTCTTTACACAGATTAGCAGAATCAGCCTTTTCCTTTCCTGACATAAATGTATGCCTGCATGAAGATGGACATCTGCCACAAAGTGTCGGGTCTAAGGCGGCTTTGACCTTTTCCTCTTGGCTGCTTTCTGATCAAAACCACATCTTCCTCTTCTTCTTCCCACCCCATTGCCTTATCAACTGTCAGAGGAAAGAGATAGAACTGAAAGTAGCTGTGGAACTGCAGTTTCGATATAAAACCCCTCCAGCACCACCAACCCCCTTTTTTTTCTAGTTCCATGACTCTGATTTTACAAAAGCAGAAGTGGGAGAGATCCAGGGTTTCAGTCCTGGGTCTCTTGTGATATATTTTGCTTGTTTGCCCTGATTCTCTCCTGGAATGTGGTAAGAGATACACACCTCTATTCTGATAGAGAAACTGATTTGTAGCTCAGAATTGAAATGAAGGGTCCTTGGTGCTCTCTGTGCTTGGGTGTTTCCTTCTGGACATTTCATTATCCAAACTAGGTAACTTCAGTACAGGGCAATGCATCATCTGCAAGAGAACAACCCAGCTGAGAGAGCACCAAGGGCCCCCTCATACCTCTGTTCATTATGGTGACCTTTTATGGGTCACCTCTCGTAGTTGGATGAAGTCTTGCCTAGGCTGCTACAGAAAGCTTCCCTCTGCCCTGTCAATATGGGCATCAATCTCTCTCTCTGTGCCTTCTCCCTTCTTTTCCCAATCCCTGTTTTAATCTCCACTGCTGATCTTTTCCTCTTAGATCAGGAATACTCTGAAAATAGTCCTCAGAGAAGAATGGATAGAAGACTTCTCCATTTTGTTTTTGTCTCTGGAGCCCTCTCCAACCACAGTTCCAAGAATTGGTACTTAAAAAAAAAATTATGAGCAATATATGGAAATTAGTTGGAGCCCTATAATTCATTGTACAATTTTTTTCTTTCTTTATTAGAAGAAAATTGCTTAAACCTGAAAAACCCTACAATGTCTGTTAAGGTCCCTTCCAGTTAGCATACTCCCACCCTCAATGGCCCACTTCCATAAAGGGAAACTGGGCCCCAAGCACCAAAAGATTGGCTATTGTTATCATCAAATTACATCTGCAAAATAAGACATGCATATGTCTGTAATATTTTTTTTTCATTTTCTTCAAAAGAGGATGAAACGGTGGGAGTCCTTCTGGAGCAAACTTCTAGTTAGCTTGGTTAGATGCCATACCTGACTCCACATTCAAGTGGAGGGGAAAAGGTACGTATATAGTGGAATCATAGAACAGTGCTTGAATTTCCGCTTTTTTTTTTCTCTCTTGCCACACAGAGAGTCATTCAGGAAGAGAAAGTGACACTGGAAGCTATCCTGTGTACTCACAAACATTGGTAAGGGATTTCTTTCCCCCTTTTTTTTGATTGGTTGCAGACAAGGGGGAATGTTGGGGAACTTTAAAATGTGTGTCTACTAAGTAAAATCCTAGCGCAAAATTGATGTTACCAGTTCAGGTGTGGTCAGGACAAATGCGTGCACAGGTGGAAATTAACCTTTTCCTTGGAATAACTTGCTCTACACGGGTTTTATTGGGGAATATGCCTGTAGATGTGGCATTGCAATCATGATGGAAGTGAATAAGATGGGTATCCTGTGCTTTCCATAGTTAAATGAGTCTCTTCTTGACAGGGATCACAGTGGAGGCAACACAGCCCTGCGGCGATGGTGTGGCTCCTGCAGAGTCTATGGAAGCAGCTTTGATGACATTCCTGAACTGACAGAGTAGGTGACCTTTGATTTCTGCTCCCCACTTGGTGAGGATGGATCCAAAATATGCTGGGTTTACAATGTGAAGACTAGACATTTTTTGGGATTGCATTAGAAAGATAATAGTATGGTCTCAAGAGTGATGGGGGAATGATGGCCGTCTCCTCCGGTTCATCTAAATATTATAAGATGACTCACCTTATTGTTTTGTGTTCATCTGAATAGTATAAGACGACTCAGTATTGGCTCTCTGATGTCCCTTTCAGCTTGTGACCATAAACATGCTGTTCCTTTTCAGTCCCCTCACGGACAAGGAGACTATAGTGGTTGGGCGCCTGAACTTCAAGGCTCTCCTCACTCCAGGTCACACTCTGGGGCACATGGTCTATGTCTTGGATGGGAAACCGTTTGAAAGTCCTAGCTCTCTCTTCTCAGGAGACCTCCTCTTCCTCTCTGGCTGTGGTAAGTTTCCAGCTGAAGGAGGAAACCAACTTGGCTTCCTGGTATTGCTACCTCAGCCTCATGGACTATTCCTTGGGAATTAATGTAAAATTTGCCTCTGTTAGCCAGTAGGGGGCATCAGACACCTCTGCAAGCATCTGGAACGGACTCTCAATAGCTAAAAAAATGGAAGCCTAGANATATTAGCAGAACATTGCATGTCTGGTTATGCCGTACCCAAGGAGCAGGCAATTAATTTTCCCAAAGGGCCACATGAGAAACTGGGACTTTTGTGAGTCCGCTGCCCTCCCATCCCACCTCCCCACCTTCGATGTTGCTGCCACCCCAACACTGCCAATGCTGATGTCTTGCTGCTGACCACCACAGGCTGGACAGGGACAGCCCACGGATGTGGCCTGTGGGCTATAAAATGCCCAGGTCTGCTGTACCCCTTTTCCTTCTTATATTCTAGAGAATCAGGGAGGTATTCTTAAAAAATGCTTTAGTCTCTTTTGTTTAGATATAGCTCTTGCATGTTTCTATCGTTGTTATTTATCTTCCTTATTCTCGAAGAAGTATCTGCTACTGATTTTTTTCCCCATTCAGAATAAGTAACCCACTCATTCTCTATCCCCCACAGTGTCCTTCCACCATTGGTGAAGAAAAGCAGTATAATCCTTTCTTACGGACTCACTGCCAGGAGATTCAGGAAGCCATCGGCCTCCAACGCCAAAGGGATGAGGACTGGGACACCTTCCGGGCCCGGGTACTGAAGGAAGTGCGACTACGAAAGGATGTCTACAAAGCAAATCTTTAATTCGAGAATCTAGTTCAGAGTAGGGCCTGAATTAGGCTTCTGCAAGGACCAGTGCAGACACAAAATGGATTCTGTCATACTGAAAAACACTCAACTTGGATACTGATTTTTACCACAACGTGAAGGGAATGGTTTGGGCCTTTATTTGATCTTTTCCTTCCGAAACTCGGATTCCAGTGCTATTTATCCATTTACTATGATAATTGGGATCACAATCTCCCAGGAAGGGTCTTACCTCAGTGGAAGACAGAGCAGATTTTTTTGAAAACCCAACATGCATCACCAATACCTACATGTTGTCCTTCTGCAGGAAGGGATTGGTATAGCACATAGCAAAGTGAGGCTGAAACAGTTTTGTGAGTTTAAGCAAAGTCTCTTGCAATTCACCACAAGAGTGACTTCTCATATTTCCATTAGAGACTAATCCACATGTGGGAACTGAGGCTATTTTTTGTCTTCCAGTTGTTGACTGGCACTTGAGAAGGAAGTTTGGCCTTCCCCCTTCTTCCTCTGCCAAACCTTTTCTTAAGTACCAAAGCATCTTGCAACTCGTGTATGTTCACGGAAGTTTGTTACTATATAATTTTGTTCCACTTTTCCTTCTTTTAATAGAACTGAGAAGATAGACATAATACCTACCACTAGACCATGCACCGATTTCTTGAAAGAAAATGTCCAGGCTCAGATCAAGCATGTCAGTGTTAATATAAAGTCTCTCAGAGCTCACTATTCATAAAACCCCAGGCCAAGAATTGCTCAAATTCCTGAGAGAGCAGGAGAATGGAAGTTGGAAGCTACTGCTGGTCTTTCAACCTTCCTTCCAGTGGATCCCATGCAAGTTGCTTGCAGAAGATTGTGTAGGCCAACTTTGTGGTATTTAATTCACGTTTCTCAGGATTATTATCTTGAACTTGGTATTTGTGCCACTGTAATTATAGTTATTGCTATTTATAATTGAACTGAGCGAAGTGTTTGAAAGAGATGCTTTGTAACATGCAACAATGTGAGCAAAGGACTTCACAATGGATTATTAAAGCAGCCCTGTCTTTTTCCAAGCATGTGCAGCTGCTTTGAAAGTGTTCCCTGAGCCAAGTGACTAAATCTACATTTTCATGATTTTTGCACTTGCAAAGTACCTTCTATGAATGCTTTGCACAGCCAAGTATAATTTAATTCCAATTAGTCTTTTTTGTTATAGCACAAAGTCTTTATCAGACCAGTTTTTTAATCTTGAATGAAATAGGAAATAGTCTTATCCCATTTGCGATTCTATTTTGTTTGGAGTAAGAGATTTGTAAGCTATATCTTTCAGTTTGGCCTTCTTTATCAGAGTCTATAAACATTGCATTTTGGAACAGAGAAATACGAAACACTTTTGATTTGTATGTATTACTGAGAAATGTTTGCCAAATGTTGACGTTTTATGATACCACTAAAATGAAATATCCACAATTTATAAACCTGTATCTTGTCTGCTGAATCTCAGGGAAACTATTTTTAGAGTCCTTCAAAATTGAATAATGACTTTTAAACCAATCATATTGTGAAATTGGCATCTACACAACTTTGTCTAAAGGGGAATAACATCAGAGAGGCTGAAGATTAATTTGTGGAAGTTATATGTTGGAAATAAAGTCACTATGGAAGGGCAATGGCCTTCTCCACACTGTGTTATAATCAGGCTTTCAATACTATGTACATTTGTAGTAGTAGCTGTTTTTCCAGTGTTTACTCTCTTCTTATATTACCAGAGCAGAAGGGGAGTCTCCAATCATGTAGATTTGGAGTCTGTTTAGGACTGCCTTAAGAAGCCCTCTTCACCCTATGTATAGTCAACACATGGAACATGTGGCTGCTGGAAGAGATGGTGACTATCACTTTAGGCCAGGGGTCTTCAAACTTGGCCCTTTTATGACTTGTGGACTTCAATTCCCAGAATTCCTCAGCCAGCATGCCTGGCTGAGGAATTCTGGGAGTTGAAGTCCACAAGTCATAAAAGGGCCAAGTTTGAAGACCCCTGCTTTAGGCAGTTCCTTGCAAAAGCAAATCTGTGGCTGTTGGTCACAAATGATGTAGACCTTCTTTAGATTTAGAAGCAATATGCTTTACAAAATCAGCTGTTGGAGAGCAGCAGTGGGAATATGAACTGCTGCCTTCAGATCTTGTTTCTAGACTTAGCAGAGGCACAGCATTGAAAGAAAGTTGTTCAGTCCGATTAAAACGGGTATTTTCTCAGGTACAGGTGGATTTGACTATCGAGGTTCTTTTTTTTTAACCAAATTATAGCTGAAAAATGAAATCTGGAACTACACTAAAACAATCACACTGCTATTTGGCGCCACAATATTTATTTTGACATATAAAATTGATTTTTATGTTCATGGTGCCATTAAGGAATGGGCTTCTTAATATTTTTTGAACATAAGATAAATCACAGTGAGAGTAAATTAGTTTCATAATATGGACTAATTGAGAATTCAAGTACTAGTCTTCCTTCCCCAGGCTGAGGAAGAATATTTTTTGCTGAGTATGCAATTGAGTAATAGGTTTCCTTGGGTTTTGGTTTAATGTATTTTGCAAACTCAGCTGTTGCTGTTTTGAAGCCATAGTTGTCTAGGACAATTTAAAACAAAAGTCAGATGAGCAGCAACCAGCAATCACAACATCAGAGGGCCATATTGAATTAATAAGGTTGCAATGTGTATGTTTGTGTGTTGCAACCCTTTGCAATTCTCAGTGGGAGGCCACATAAAATAAAACATTTTAGCCATTGCAATTGAAAGAAAGTCTAGCTTGAGAAGAAAGAAAGTCTAATGAAACCAGCCTTCCTCTTCCTTCGTAAAAGAAAGTAATAGTATTAATCTTCCTGTGTTTCTTTAGCAAAATGAGTCAAAAGATGTGTGTCTGTTTTTGTGCTGTTGTAAGTTACTACTATTATGAGTAGTCATTGTTTCTCAAAGATACAAATGCTACGGTATATTTACAATAATAACAAATGATTAAGGTAGTGATTTGGGATTCCCTCTTATTTAATTTTGCTCATTTAATATCAGTTACAAGAGAAAAATACACAAGTGGGGAAGACTTTTGGTTTCCTTTTAGCTGTAAGGGCTAAGGGCCAACCTCTCTCGCCTCCAGAGAGATCTTTTTTCTTTTCAATGCCTCCAGAGAGATCTTTCTTTTCAACTGGCAAATCTTCAGTTGAAAGGGGATGTGGAATTATCCTGTCTCGATTACTGGAAAATAAATATGGACCTGATTTGTTGAATCGTCTAGTAGCTGGAGCTAGCTGGAAATATCTCTCAAATAAGATGAAAAGAAAATAGAAAAGACATAGCTCAGGAGGAATAAAATTTAAGATAAGAACATGAATGTGGGAGAAAGATGCTAATTGATATATGACATCCTTAATGGATAACTCATATTTCTTATTTTCTTGCTTTGACTGTTTAAATCAGAACTGAAGATGCAAGGAAACTGCTGGCATCTCTTTGCCTTTATAGTCCATTCCTAGTTTTAATAGAAGAGTTGGAAAGGGAGGTTTGCTTGGTTTTTTGGTTTGTTTGTTTGTTTTTGTAAATGAGGGAGCTAGAAGATAATACAGAAAGTTGTGGATCCCTAAATAGATGATTAATGCCAAACCTTTCACATCATTTAATCAAGCATCTTCCTGTGCTTGTTTTTTCTATAAAGTTGAAGGAAATAATCCTCTAAATGCCTTACTAGGCTCTTGTACTATTGATATAAACGTCTCATGCAGTATTGATCTTGAATTGGACAATTGTAAGAGTTGCTCTCATGTAACTGGGCAAGGAGAAGATTGCAGGGAACATGATATCTGTCTTCATCTTTTAAACAATTGTTGTATAGAAAACGGGAAAGAATTGTTCCAGAAGACAAGATGAGGAACGGCACATTAAAATTACAAGGAAGTAGATTATCATTGGGCATCAGAAAAAAAGAAATCCTCATAAGAGCTGTTCAACAGTAGGACAGGTGACATTTGAAGGTAATTAAATTTTCTTTGCTGAAGAGGTTTAAACAAGATGGAGGGCCATCTTCAGTAAAGTTGCAATAATAATTCTTGCAGTAGGTATGGAGATGGATTGGATGAGCTCAAAAACCACTTCCACTTTTTACATTCCATGATTCCGTGTACAAATGTACATTCACACAAATGTACAAATGCTCACACAAACACAACCATGTATATTTGAAGGCCAGTTTGCTGTAGTTGTTAAAGCATCAGGCTAAGAACAGGCCAGCTGGGTGACTTTGGGCCAATCATCCACAATCCAGAAAGAAAAAAATAGGAATGAAGTTTCCACTACTGACAGAAGCTTTCATACTCTAGTTTATAAAAGTACATTTCTGACCCAAACACTATTAACTGTCAACATCTGGTTATATAAAAAGGACAATAAATAATACATTCTTTAATCTTATGGTATACAAAATCTGAATATTACCTTTATTTTGCAACTTTATTTTGCTATTTTATGTAAGGCCCCTGTGGATTTTATTTATGCTCTCTGATCTTCTTAAACAAATATTCCGTAGGAATACTGTTGCATTGTTCACAACATTCACGGCAATGAACTGATTAAATTTATTTATGAGGACCAGATGATCAGAGGGCCAAGGAGGAAGCAATACCTTAATGTCCTACCTTGGCAAAGTCTTGCTCACTTAAAGTAGGATTCCCATGGATGAACTTTATTTGTTCTGGGGTAGATAAATTTTATTGGCTTTGGATGAATAAAACGTTGTAAATTCTAAACATTTCTTTATCTGTATCGTCACATTAGTCCAAGGTGCATAATACTGCAACAGTTATTGAATCAAGGCACCTAAAATCCACAGTAGTTGCAATGATAGTAATGATGAATCATAAACAGCAGCATTATGTTGAAATGTGTTAGAAATTCTGTTTATATATAGCCCTATAGCCCTACATATTAAATAAAGTGTACAGTCATCATGACATTGCTGCTTAACTGTTTTAACTGTAACAGGAAAATCCTCAGAACAAAAGGACCATAGAGTATATATCATAGATGATACCTAGCAAACTTACAAACTGAATATTGTTGTAGTTGTTGCACATAATACATTCCAACATGTATTCCAACAAAATGCTTTCTGATAAATAAATGAGGACACGTAAACACATTCTTTTCTAGATTAACTGGAAACCTATGGCTGTAAATTTTTCTTTTTGTCAGCTGAGTGATTTTTGTTTAGTTTCTCTGCCTAATTTTGCCTGCTTTTGGGGGGATTTATAAACTGTTTTGAGGGAGTATGAGGCTTTCCAATAAAAACTTGATACGATTGGTTAAGAAGAAAACTGTTTTGCCTTTGCTTCATTGTATTTAAGTATTATTTCAATATTAGCCACAAGAGGAAGCAAAGATTAACTTTTAACAGAACTTTTAATAGAAAGGTGGTGAATGTAATAGAATTAATATTTTCCACAAGAGGGACCCATAGGCTATAGTACTTAAAAGATTGCTAAAAAGATTTTGCATGTTTTTATTATTGGAGGGAGCCAAAGACTATCAGATTGTTCAGAATACAAGAGAATACTAAATAAACAAACAAAATATTGATTTTTTGATCCAGTGTAATATGAAATAAAACATTTTTAAAAAAATATTGGGCATAAGTACTATTTTATTAAATTTAATAAAAACTAAGTCTTAAGAATGACAAGAGACAAGCTGCAGGAATAAAGAAAATCAGGTGAATTAAACCTTATGGGAACTATGTTGGAAGAACATCCAGCTAAAACAATACAAGCAGTGGAGACAAAAATAGAAAATATAACCGAACAACTTTGCAAAGAGATTACATCAAATGATGGGAGAAAGTGGGCTTTCTGGAACAGATAAAGAAAGTGGATATCTAGAAAGTGGATACCTAGAAGGGATATCTAGGGGAGTTAAATTGGATAAAGTTTCATATAAAGAATTACTTTTGCCGGTAGGACAAGACTGGCAACTTAAATCTCTGGGAGATCTGAAACAAGAGAATATTGAATACTCATGGTTTTATTATAGTCAATTGTCCATGAGGTGGAGTTTGGATCAAAAAGTTGGTATTGTAGTACAGGATGTGAA